TCGCTGAGAATAGGACTCCGAACACTTGGGGAATAGCCCTCAAGCTAGCCAGTCATCTAACATAAACAAAACTAGATGCGGACAGTTGGTGGGGAAAGACAGCTGCAAGACGATCAGCAAGAACACGAACAAGGATGAGGAAATGAGGGGAGAGAGCCAGAAGTGTATTGAATAATAGCTAGTGAGACCTATCGGCTGGAAGCCACCGGGCGTAATAAACAATGAATGAATGAATGTAACAATCGACAGATATCTAAGTATACATACTATGTAGTGGCGTACTTAAAACCACAGTTTTTTTTATGATATGTAGAATCCCTCGTTTCTCCTGATTCCCATATTTGATGGTAGCCGGAGCAAGTACCGCGCTGATAGAGGGACGAGTAGCAGGAGTTTTGCACGCCTGATAGGACACAGGTGTCAGGCGGTCTTCCTTTGAGCCAAGGTCTGGCTCGGATGCCATCGAATAACTGAATGGTGAGCACGAAGCTCCAAATCAAAGCAAACAACGTATCCAGCTGGAGCGAGCTTCAATGCTGTGCACTCTTTATGCTGGGCTAGAAACTGGCCACCGAAGGAATTTGGTCTTCAAACTTACTTCTGAACCCACAGTGCATCTTTATTAATACCTGAGCCCCCGATGTATCAATATCTGACCCCAATAGTTCGTCCAATTACCCTGCCAGACACTGTAGAATGCCCTATTCGGTAGATGGCTCACGCTGCCAGCTTTGCCGATGTACTCCTCGAGGAGACTCATGCTCGCTTTGCAATCATCAGTGGAGCGAAGTGGTTATCCCGTTTAGGAAGTTGTAAAACATAATTATCTCAAGCACTACTTAGCGCAGGCTGCGCTTCGCCTTTCTACAGGCTATATGTAGTATAACTTAGGGCTAGCTAGGCTTCCAGCGATACGAGCTGACCAAAACAGTTAGGCCACAGGAATAGTATGTCTATGCGCGATCAGTTAGCGGTAACTAATACCGTAGGCGCGTAGCGGAGCTCGAGCGCTCGTCGAGGATTCAGGTATGAGTCATACATCACATTTTCCTTCACCTTATTTAAATGTACAGATACAATACAAGCAGCTGGATCACATCTGAGCAGCGACCCTCCTTGCGATTTTCTTCTGCTGCCGTCCTATGCGTGCCTTTTCACGGCGCGCCGCCTGCCTTTGTCTCCTATTTGAAGCTTGGTCAGAGGACTTGAGCTTAACTCCATGAACCAGCTCAACATGACCTCGGAAATAGTCTACATGATCCAAATTCTCCTGCCTGCATTTCGAATAGCCGCACCAGATCGCTTCATCACGTCGCTCGGCTGTCTCTCGGTCAGCCAAGTGCTCATCGTCAAAGTGGTCGTTGAGTACGGGCGGACCATCGACGGTGGCTCCCTGCCGCTGCGTAGCGGGTATAGTTACTGCCTGCAGTGTAGAATCGCCAGATGTCAATCTCTAGTCTGTTCGGACGTTCTGAGAGACTCCATGGACTTCGGGTGAGGATGGTAGAGTGTCTAACCAGTTAGCTACCCATCACGTTAGTCCAGGACTAAAACGGTAAGCAGAACAAGTACAGTCCGTCCCTACGCAAGGCTATTCAGAAGCTACAAATCAAGGCACAGGAGAATTGACATTGGCTATATTGCAATTTAACTCGAAAATTCTAATACAGGTACAGTACAAGCAGCTAGATCACATCTTCGCGGAGGCCTCCTTTACGATTTTCTTCTGCTGCCGTCCGTGGCATTTCTTTTCACGGCGCTCCGCCTGCCTTTATCTCCTCTTTATAACTTAGTCTAATATCCTAAGACTTACCCCGTAGACTTACTTAATATAACTTTAGAAATAATCTACATAGTTAAATTTCTCCTGCCTATATTTTAGATAGCTATACTAAATAGCCTTATAATATCACGTAGTAGTCTCTTAGTAGGCTAGGTATATATTATTAAAATAGTTATTAAGTATAGGCATATAGTAATACTTAAACCTTTACGCCTTATCTAGTAACTACTTATTACTAATATAGTCTAGGCACTATATTACCTTTATTAGGAATAGGAACTAATCTAGCTTAAGATCTAGCTTAAATAGTATATTATTATTAGGTGACTCTTACTTTATAGAAGCCTTAACTATAGCTAGGTATAGTATATAGCTTATTCTACCTAATTTCTTCTTATTATATAGAGCCACTAGTAAATTAATAGCCTTAACCCTATATTAAAATAGCTCTTCTTTTATTTAGTTATTAGGCTATAAATAAAAAATATTAACTAGTCTTACCTACTCTAATATAATAAGGTTAATTATAGGTTACTTATATTCTTCTTTAACCTCCCTTTAGGCCTATACTTTAATATCCTAGGTAGGCTAGTTATAGAAATAGTATTTATAATATTCTTTTATAACTATCTTATTATATTATATCTACTTATTTCTAATCTCTTTTATAATTATCTAGATTCTCTTTTTATACTTACTACTTTTAATTTAATATCTTCTTTACTTAAGTATTATATACTCCTCCTCTAACTTTATAATCTTAGGGTTAGGTAGCTAATTTACCTATATCTCTTTAGGTACTATATTCCTTATAGTATAAGGGTTATAGGTAAGGCTTATATAAGTAAATATATAGAATAGCTAATTTTACTTTTCCTCCTCTAAGAAGGTATTTTAGAGATTAAAGTTAGTAATCTTATTTAGATATATACTATAAAATATTTTAAACCTAAGGTTATACTATATTATCTAATTATAGACTAAATCTAGTATATTACTTAGTAAAGTTAGTATTAGTATAGATAACTATAATAGTATATATAAGCTTTAGTATACTATTTATAGTGTTTATAGTACCTCTTTAAGTAAACTAAGGCGTCTAAGCCTTCTTATAACTAGATTTAAGACTTTACTAGCCTATATTATAACTTAACTTAGAGTAGAGTATTACCTTATCTTTAGATAGTATTATATTATTACTATACTAAAAAATAGGAACTTTTAATTTCTCCTTTTTCTAATAGAATAGTATATATTTATTTAAGTCTTAAATATCCTTTAAGAGTAGACTATATATATTAGTTAGGTAAGGTATATTAAATATATAGTTATATAAGGCTAATATAATAATAACTATAATAGTATTAAAAATAAGCTTCTTAGTAGGTATAAAGAAAAATATTATCCTAAGATATTATAATTAGCTATAGGTTAGATAGTAAGTAGCTAGGAGATAAGGTAGGATAAATAGCTTTAGCTTATTATCTACTCCTTTATAGTAGATAAATTTAATAGCTATAGCTAATATAGGCTTCTTTATTATAAAGTATTATATAATTATTAATAGAATATCTTTATAGTAGAGAGCTTTAGGATAGCCTTTTTTAACTATCTCTTAAAGGAGTATCTTATTAAGCTTTATAGACTACTTATCTAGTGTCTAATCTATATTACTATTACTCCCTACTTCTTATATAACTTTCTAGCTAAAAAGTATTTCTCTAGAGCTATTCTTTAGGCCTTTCCTCTTATTATCTACTAGCTCTATAGGTTATACCCTAGTATAATATAAGAGCTAGTAATAGCTAGCTAACTAGATATAATAATAGCCTAGGCTAAATACACTTATATTATATATAATATTAAATACTAAGATAACCTAAAGACTATTAGTATTTAGGACTAGCTTATTATTAATATTTAGCGCTTAGAGATAAAAGTAAGGTATTAAAATATTTTAGTAGTATTAGGCTATAGTTAGTATATATAGTTAAGAACTCTAGCTTAGTAGGTTTTAATACTTTATAGACTTCCTTTATATTATCTCTATCTATATAATACCTTATAATTATTATATAAAGCTATTAGAATTAGTAAATATACTCCTCTAATAAACCTTATAACTAGATATTATACTTTTTATAAATAAAGAAAAGAAAGTCTATTATAATAATATAATAGAGGTTAAAGATTATAGCTTACTAGTTACTAATATTTATCTTATTATAATAACTATACTAAGGTTAGCTATAGGCTTTAACATAAATATTTAGTAATTTTTAATATACTATTTTTATTATCTAAATATACCTAAGATATTAATCTCTATTATAGTAAAGTACTTAGGCTTTATAAATTAAATAAAGCTAAGATACTACTAATTTATAATATATTACTTAGCTAAGAGTAGTATAGGCTTTACTACTTTCTTAAGCTACTTTACCTTCTAAAACTAGAGGAAGTTAAGGTAGTAGTTATCTAGAATGTTTATATATTATATATAGGCGATAGCGCTTAGTATTATAAAAGGATCGCCTTAGTTACTATGGTATAGAAGTAGCCTAGTTTAGATGCCACGACGGACTTAGGGTGATAAAAGAAAGGAGAAAGGAGGCGGGCGAGGGTGACACCGCTCTATATACCGTGATGCCGGCTATTCTGGTGGTAGTAGGCGCCGAAATACGTGGGCAGCGAAAATGGCATAACAGCAAACGTTTAACAGCAAACGTAAATTGACAGGCCCCTGTGGTGGGGGGGGGGTTGTGTAGCCAATACCGCCAGAAGTACTTGGTACCTGACAGGGGTCCGCCTGGACGGTGAGTCCCTCACTGCTTTAGCCGCTAAAAACGGCGGCAGAACCCGCTAGATTTGGTGGCTCCAGCAGCGCATCCTTCGTTTAAAGAGTAATATAGATAAGTAAGTAATATATCTATATTAGAGAATATTATTTTTTAATCTTATATTATAATTACTTAATAACCTTAAATAGAAAATACTTTTAATAAAGGTAATATAATTTTTACCTTATTATTATTAAAAAAATCTATAAAAACTAAGTATTTATAAAATAATAAAGAT